TGTAAACTAAGTTGATAGGGGTAGAATAGGCAAATTTTCTAATCACTCCAATTCCCCAACATAGTAGCACATATTACAGTGTCTTTAGAAACAAACCCCTTCTATCCGGCAGATAGGAATTAATCAGGCATGTGAACAATTATTAATCAAACAAACAAATGCCCCAAATGTAATGTCCACTCCACTCCTTATTTTCACCACTCCCATTCACCAAAAGGGCATGATCACACCACTGCATGTGGTTTTCTGTTTTCTAGATGAAAGCAGTTTTTACACAGCATCTGACAACTTTTAATGTTTCTTTTTGGGACACATCACCAAATAATCATAAAGCTCTCTTCAAAGGCCATGAAATGAGACTGTATATAGAGTAATAGGAATAAAATATAGCTTTTTGTAAAAAGAATTAAGAAAAAAGAATGAACCTTTGGATTGTCCAGACTGCATTCTGCTTTCATAGTCTCAGGTTGACTGGATGAGGCAGCCATGGCTGATGAAGGGAAAAATAAGAAATTAAAATGACTGTCCTAGTAGTAACAATTAGTCCTAATACTTGATATAGGTGTGACTGTAATCACAATGTCAACCAATTTTTTTTAAATTCTGAACATTCGATGTTTAGCAGAATCTGGTTATCATTGCTTTCACAGTACAATCACACTGCTGGCCACACATTATCAGAAAACATGTGGCTCTCTGCTGTCAGTGCTGTAATTAAGTAGAGGTCATTTTATCTTTTAATAATAGATTATAAAGTCTGTATAAGAGTGTTATCGAAATATTTTGGGATGAAGTTTTTATTGTTAAAAATACGGTAAAAAAGGAAAATCTTGATGTTTATAGTCATTATCTGAAGAAAATGAAGCGCTTTTGACATGTAATTTCACCTCATAGTAGTTTCAATCTTTTTAAAAACGTGTGTGAAAGATCATGGAGATAGCTCTCGCCAATTGCTATAAAGAAGTATGATGGCGCTCTTTTTGGGTGCTTTGTAAACATTTCGGTCTACTTTTTTTAAAACAAATTAGTGAATAATTTTTAAATCGCTCGATAGATTTTTTTTAAAACATTAAGATTCTTTTCGTAATTCAAACTGAGAATTAGTCTGCAGCCACTTCTTCACTTTCAGACCTATTGCTGATGCAATCTGCCATACACTCTTCTAGGAGCGGAGGTGATTCCAGAAAGTTATGCGGAAGCTTATTCTAATCAATTCACGACTGGAAATAGCCCATTCCAGCTAGTGCAGTGCAGTACAATGACCAACAATAAAAAAAAGTCAGCATATGATACCCTTCCCTTATAACCAGAAACTCATCACGTGCTAGGCAACCACTGACTTCACGATAAAATAGGAAATATTTATCTCTTTAAAATAATCATAATAAAAAACATGGAAAAGTCTTTAAAAACTGGCTTTGCCCAAATTTTCTCTTACTGCCCAAAAGCTCTGAGTTGCTCAAACTTTGGGGGGGGGGGGGGCTGCAGCCCCCTCCCTGGTTATGGCAATTAAACTTAAATGTGTGTTTGCCGTAATTTGACCTTACACATGGTACATGAAAGTTTAGATTTTAGGCATATCTGGCATTGTGTGAGTGAAAATCAGACACCTTTACGAGGTAGTTTTGAAACACTTCAGGGATATTGGCTTTATTTTGTGAGATTTTGTGAGCTAGCAAAGAGAGTTTGAGTTTAAATTGCTTATATCTATGTTAAGTGTATCTAGAAGTTTGAGGTAGGGTGCACTACTTGTTCTGTTATGGCTAAAACATATGAAGCGTATACATTTATTACTTTGGCGGAGCGCGAAGTAAAGGATTCGCGACGTTCAGGAATGTATCAAAGTTGACTTTTTTTGACAACATTGGGCACGCAAAGTCTGAAGGTTTTCGGTTTTATTCGGCTATTTGACGAAGTGAGAGCCGAATTAGTACGAGATATCTCGAGATCACTTCGATTTCTTTGATTTATTCTTTAACTTTTTCGAGGAAGAAAGAATTAATATTGTGGCTTTCTCGGGGTTTGAACCGACTCAACTGTGTGACCCGTCAGATCAGAGGAGACTCCTAAGTTGAGGGATTAGCCGATTGCGCTACTGCGACCCAAGATAGTTCGGGATATGAAAAATAGTTATGAAATGATACACTAATTTCGGGACAAGATTGGGCGTGCAAGTTCGTGACTTTTCGGCTTGTTTCGGCTTCACGAAATGAGACCGGACTACTTCGTGATATCTTGAGATCACTTCGAGTTTTAGTCTTTAATTTACTCGAGGAATAAATAGAGGATATTAAGTGGCCGCACAGAGACACCAAATTTCTCTTCGAGTGTTGAAAAACATTTCACGAGTGAGCCCTCCTTTCGAACTGTTTTATGATGAATTTAAAGTTACAAAATGCTGCACAAAGACATTTTTGTCTTTGTTGAGTGTTACGTAGTAAAATTGCTTTCATGCGTCGCGTGACTTTCTCGAACATTCTCTACGTTTTTGGATTATTCATGAATAATTAATTAGGGCATGTTTACATTTCAGCATGAGTGAGCGGATTTGCATCAGTTACTGAAATCATAAAATATGTCCAAAAGCTAATACTATTCGCCTGTTTAGTATTTTCTAGAACCTTATGTCAAACAGTATAGAAGTTCCAAGCGAGTTCTTTTGACGAACTAAGTTTTTTTCCCATGAGCTGGACTGCTGTGTTTAGTCAAGTGTGACGAAGGTCGATTTTCAAGTTCTGTGTTTACAAGTTGGCGGAAGCCGCAAGATATCTGAAGGTCAAGTGAGAGTTTGTTATTATTGGTAGAGGCTGTTTAGTTTTACTTAAGTTCAAGTCAAGTTTGTGTTGGCGGATGCTGTGTTTTAAAGCTCTGTAAAGGCTATGTTCCTTTGGTATTAAACTTCCTTATGTTAATCCGACATCCCTGCGTGCTGAAAGTCTGAATAATTACCCTCAAAACATTTGAACTCGTAGCATTGAGTTTTAGCCAATTCCATGCTCAACGTAATTGACTCCTTACCCAAGCCTTACATATCTTTAATCAGTACATGAGACTGCTACGCTATTTTTGAAGCCTGATGTGACTACGAAAAATAGAGAATTCTTTTTTCACTGTTTGTTGTGTTAGACTTGTTATTCACCACCAGTAACCTCATATTTGACCTAGGTCTAAACGTTTTGACCCAAGTCAAATTTAGAAGGATTTGTATGGAGTCATCAGAGCATAACTGGGCTAATATCTCAGAGACAATTTGTCCCGAAATTCTAGTTTTTGGCAAGTAGGCCTCTTGGACGTTGCTCTTTTCAGAATATCCTGACAAAACCCATAATTTCACAAATTAACACCTTACTCTTACCATATTTCATTTCTTACTATTCCTGCGCATTTACAATTAATCAGTTCCACAACCACGACGCCGAAGTGTACGCTCCGTAGCGTCTTGTTTTGTTTTGTTTGAACTTTAGTTGATCTACTTGGGTATGTGTTTCCCCAACTCATAATTCCATAATGAAGGTAGGGGTAGATGAGTAATATATTTGTTTGAGGGTGTTTAAAGTTAAGAAATGGAGTAACCTGAAAAGGATTCCCAAGTTTTTAGATATTTTGCTGTTTATGTGCTGAATGTGGGTAGCCCAATTTAGATTTTTGTCAATGTAGATACCTAGGTATTTGATGTAGTTTTTTCCTTCAATATTGCATAAATTAAGCTTAAGTTTATTTGCTACTTTTTTTTGGGAGGGGGAGGAGATCATCATATAGTGGGTTTTCTTAAAGTTTACAGAAACTTTATTAGGTGGGCAGTAGCTAAGAAGATGGTTGAATTCCTCATTTATAGTTTTTCCAAGGTCCTGTAGAGAATTGGAAAAGTAGAATAGAGTGGTGTCATCAGCAAATGTTCTAATATTTGCCTTTTCTAAACAATTGGGTATGTCATTGATATATATCAAAAACAGAAGTGGGCCAAGGGTAGAACCTTGTGGTACACATTGGATAGAAAGTGGGTTTGATTTAACATTTTCAACTTCAACATAACGTGTTCTGCTTTCAAGATAGCTTTTAAACCACTGGAGAGGGACACCACAGATCCCGTATCTGTATAATTTCTGTAGTAGGATCTGATGGTTGACAGTATCAAAGGCTTTAGATAGCTCAAGAAAAATACTGCATATAGCTTCATTGTTGTCAATTTTCATTTTAAGATTGTCAGTGAGTTCAAGAATTGTTTGCTCAGTGGAATAATTTTTCCTGAAGCCAAATTGGTGTTTACATATCAAACTCATTGCGACATTTGCCCTATGTCACATCGGGTGGCCTCAACTTCCGGTAAAATAGAGCTGAAAACACGCTATTTTCTGCAGAATAAAACCTTTCTTTCTCAAAGTAGGAGATGTATCACAAATGCACCACCCATATTGAGCTAAGTGCTATCTAAGCTACTAGTGGTGAAAAACTTGGGTTATTTTGTCAAGATTTCGATGGGGCATTTTTATATTTTTTTCCGTCGGTTTGGATGTAAATTTACAAAAGCGTGACCGGTCTTGAAAGCAGCGGGTCGAGAAAAACTGGACTGGCTCGACAGTGCATGCTCGGAATAATAAATGCACTGCCAAATTCAAAGAGTTGAATTAATTTGAGCGTTTTGATATGTAATTTGTTGGGATTTGTGCAGATTTCGGTGGGGCAAAATGACTTCGAAGGTTCATCTTGCTCTCTTTCTTCTCTTCGCTTGTACCGTGACGGTTTCTGCAGTTGAAGATAATTTTCAAGGCGAAAATGGTGAGAAATTCAGCCAGCAGAACGGTCCTTCGTACACTTCCGACATTAAAAAGTAAGTAATTTGAAGTGATGACGAACATTTTAATAGGAGCTTAATTATATTTTCTAACAGTTCGATTTCCAAATTTTCGGATATTGAATAATTCCTCGTTTCTTCTATTTATTTCCGCAGCTTTTTAATTTATACCATTTCGAAGGCTCCACATTTAATTCTATGCGCACCTCGAGGTCATCTCTTCTTCCGGACCACAACTTTCTCTTGATGCAACGATACAATCGCCCGTGAAAAATGTTGTCTCTATCCTCCAGCGGACATTCCGCGGGGAAAAACATTTTTTGCAAGCGAACGAAGGGAAAGTAATTCCTTTCAGTATCGTAATCACGCCACTCATCGTATTCTTCGTTTTCACTGTCACGCAATAAACACGGCACAAAAAAATACATTTGAAACCGTCAAGTGGAAGAAGCCAAGAAAATGAAATGTTATAAAAGACTAATATATAAACAATTTGTCCAAATCTCAGGTCTTTGTGGCCCACAGTTTCTGAGTTAGTTGCCGAAACATTTCACGCACCTTTGTAGAGCTTTGTATGGAGACGCCATATTGGTGGACAGAAACTGTCCACCAATATGGCCGCCGGAAATCAACAAAAACATCTGGAGTTCACTTTTTCTATAAAAGCTCCTCCTTTTCACTTGAGAACTAGCATAC